CCGAATGAGATACTGCAAAAGGTGAACTGAATTCAACAGCTCCTGATATGAACAGGTATCAACCTAGTTTTTCATATTTGAGATGGGTTACCCGGAATCATATATGATAATATGAAATCTTTCCATTCTCAAGTCAGCATATTCACAAAGCACCTATAATTTTGATCCATTTTATATTATTTTTCTCCCAGGGGCAACTGATCCCTCTGGCCCCCTCACTACGCCACTGCCCCCCTCCTGCAAATCTATCATCTTATGCATGTGCAAGATCTTTGAGAGCCGTCTCATGAATCTGCAGTTAGTGTCTGTGGCGCCTGCTTCTGGGTGGTGTCTCAATGCTGCCACATTCACCTCCAAAGAGGGGGCTTCCCAAAGCAGGCCCTTGCTGCTGACCCCCAAGGCATCCACAGGTCCAGTCTCCTTTCAATGGGCCCACTTCCCAGGGCTCATTGATCTTGGATCTGGCTTCCATCCCCTCTCCAACCCCCATCAGAACTAATATGTCTTCCTGGCTTAGGAAAAGAATAAACAGGAGGATTGGAAATTAACCCACTCAATCTCACATCCCCTAGGCAGGGAATAAGCCTACATTAAGCCCCAGCTGGAGTATCATGTCCAGTTCTGGGCGCCACATTTCAGGAAATGTGGAGAAACTGGAGAAAGTCCAGAGAAGATCAACACAAATGATGAAAGGTCTAGAGAACATGATATATGAGGCAAAGCTGAAGAAATTGGCCTTGTTTACCTTGAAAAAGAGAAGACTGAAAAGGGACATGAGACAGCTTTCAAGTTTCTAAAATAGTATCATAAGGAAGAGGAAGAAAAATTGTTCTGCTTGGCCTCTGAGGTTAAGATGAGAAGCAATGGGCTTAAATTGCAGCAAGGGAGGTTTAGGTTGGACATTAGGAAAAACTTCTTGCCTGTCAGGATAGTTAAACACTGGAATAAATTGCCTAGTGAGATTGCGGAATCTCCATCACTGTAGATATTTAAGACCAGGTTAGACAGACACCTGTCAGGGATGATCTAGGGCAACTCAACTTTGGAAGCCCCAGGGGCCACACTGACACTTGCAGAACATGCTGAGGGCCTCAACTTAAGTGTGGTTGCATTTGCAAGCAAATATATACATATAGCTTCTTACACACTGACAGGCATGAATACAAAGATTTAGGCAAGACTACACAACACACAGGCCCCATTTAAATCAGTTCTGCTGATATTAATAAAATGAAGTATTTACCAAATTTCTACCCATGTGACAGCACTTATCATGAGCAATGACAGTCCAAGAATTTAACTCCTAAAATACATATCAACACTGACTACTTTTTTGTTTTGGCTCCCACTCGCCTGCCACGTGTTGATCCCCACATAAACCCAAACTGCACCGTGGGTTGCAAACAAACTGGCCGTGAGCAGCATACCAAGTTATTAATAAAATATTTTATAAACGACCTTTTCTCTCTGCTGCCGTGTCTCCTCTCCTTGCTCCATCATCTCCCCTGGTGCCTGCTGCCCCACAACTCCTCACCCTCCTCTGCTGTCCTGACTCCTGCCCTTCTCACTGCCCTCAGACCTCCTGCGACCTGCTCCCCTCCACCAGCATGCTCCCCTCCACCGTTCTCTCTGCCCTGTGCCCACTCCTCCAATAGCCCCACTCTGCTCATGTGATCTACCCCTCCTCATCTAACACCTCCTTTGCCTCTCTCTCTGGTGCTGGTTCCTCCCCTGCAGGTATCTGCCCTTCTGCTTAACCCCAAAATCCCCTGGCACCTGCACCTTCCCTTAGCCCTGCATCCTCCTGGTGCCTCCCCCTTCCCTCACTGCCCCACCCCCTTTGCCCTCTTTTTCCCTGATGCCCACCCCCTCACCACTCTCTGCCCCATTCCTCTCCCGCCCCTCACACATGCCTTGCTCCATCCCCACCCCTTCTTTCAAGCCTTCTCCCAGCACCTCCCCCTCTAGCCCCTAATGCCCTTCCCCTCTCCTCTCTTCTCTCAGCATCACCCTGTCCCCTCTCCCACTGACACCTCCCCTCCTGCCCTTGTCCCCCTGGCATTTTTCTCTCCTGCACCCCTGACTCTTGGTGCCTTCCTCTCCCCCTGCCCTCCCCCCTTCTCCTTTCACCCTTCCTCCTCCCCCCTTCTCCTTCCTCCCCCACCCTTGCCAAAGCTCAAGCCCCTTCCCTTCCCCCCGCCCTGCCGCTGCTGCCCAAGCCCCTTTCCTACCTTCTCCTTTCCACATTGTGGTTGCTGGGCCGTCACCGGGGCAGAACCCGGAGCCAGCGAGGTCTCTCAATGTGGCCTCCCAGGACTTTTAAAATCCCGGGCCGTGACGTTATGTCACGGCCCAGGTGTCCTCCTCGCCTACGTGCAACGCCGCACATGGGCAGCAGCAGGCGGCGAGAAGGAGCCATGCATGGCAGGGGCTGAGGGGGCAGAGTGGGAGGACTGGGGGGCCCCTCCGGGCAGAGCCGGGGGAGAGACCCAGCTCCACATATTAGTGGAGCAGGGCCCCCGGCTCTGTAACTTGCCGGCTGGCACTTCCGGGTTCAGGGGCATGGGGCCCCCTTAGGTGCGAGGCCCAATTCGACCGAATTGGTCGAATTGGCCTAAGGCCGGCCCTGCTGCCCATGGGGAGCCTAGGCCCATTGTGGGCAGATGCTGCTTCATAGCAACCTCCCTTAACCCTGTGCCTCCCGCTAGTGCCTCTGCTCTTATCCCTGTTTTAGGAGAGAGCTTGAAAACAAACTAATTTCTTAATAGAAGCCCTTCAGTCTCAGGCACGGGCACACAGAACCTGCTTTTTTTTAG